AATTTTTTTAAAGTAATAAAAAGTATAACAAAAAGTAGCATAAAAACAAAAAGGTATGCATGAGGAAAAAAAATCACACTATCAACAGAGTCAAAAAGGTAAAAAGATAACCTGGGAAAAATATTTACAATTCATTTCACAAACAAGAGCTATTTTTTTAGTCGAGAAGAGCTTCTACAAATCAAAGTAAAAGGTCAACAATCAAGACAGAAAATGGGCCAGGATATGAGTGAATAGTTCCCAGGAAAGAAAAATTCAAAACAAATTAAAATTATGAGATTCCATTTTTCATATCTCAAATTGACAAATATCAATCTATCTGAAAACAGGTGTAGAAAAGTATAAGCTGGCATTTCTTTGAAGATAAATTTGGTAATATTTATTGAATCAGTAATTTCTCTTCTACATAACCTAGTTATGGTCCTACATGTACAAATTTACATTACAGAGATATTCACTACTTTTTGAATTCTAAAACTTTTAAAATGCCACCAGTTCAGAGTAGATAAAGTTTTTGAGAGAATAAAAAGAAGAGACAAAGAGCTTTGCTTTAAAAGGAAGTAGAAAATGCAGGAGTAGCTTGAAGAAAATGTGTCAAGTAATGGTACTAAATTGGGAATTAGCAAACTAATGTTCACAGGTCAAATTCTGCCAGTTGCCTGTTTGTAAATAAACCTTTTGAATCCTTTCATTTTTGTATTCTCCTCGGTGGCTTTTGCACCACAAAGGAGTAGTTGCAATAGGGACAATCTTGCCAACAAAGCCTAAAATATTGACTCTCTGGTCCTTACTAGAAAAAATTTGCCAACCCTGGTTTATACATCAATGATTTTTAGTTCCCAAACCAATATCAACAGCATCACCTGGGAACTTGTTAGAAATGCAGATTCTCAGGCCCCACTCCAGACCAACTGAAAAAGAAACTCAGCAATTTGTTTCAACCAGCCCTTTAGGTAATTCTGATAAGAACCCCTGGGTTAGGGAACAGTTCTAGCACAGTCAGGAAGAGATGAGGACCCATCTGACGTTTGTGTTCACAGATAAAAAGGGCCTTGAGGAGATTTAATGGAAGTCTAATAAGTCTCAAAGATGCTATCAAAGAGGGCCTAAAGGAAAGTGAGGAAAATACTTTTGAAGGCTGAATTAAAAGAGGTCCTTGTTATATAGTAGTGGAAAGTTTGGCGAAACTATTACCTATAGTAATTTGGAAAATAAAATATATACAATTGACCCTTAACACAGAAATTAACAGTGCTGATCCCTGTGCAGTCAAAAATCTGCATTTAAGTTTGGATTCCCAAAAAACTTAACTATTAATAGCCTATTGTTGTCCAGAAGCCTTACCAATATATATAATCGATTAACACATACTTTTATATAAGTTTAATATACTTTACTAGAGGCCTGTCACATGAAGAGATTCCTGCAATAGGCCTTCCTTCCCTGAAATTAAAGGATCTCCTTTAATTCAGCCTTCAAAAGTATTTTCCTCACTTTCCTTTAAGCCCTCTTTGATAGTTTCCAGCACTGGTTTTCCTCTGGCATCTGGGACCCAAACCTTCACTCTGACCTGCCACCTTTGCTGCAGACTCCAGCCAGAGTCTGCAGTCTTTGTCTTTGCTGCAGGGTAGGAGTGCCTCTCCTGTAGATCGCCTCATCAACCCCCACCCTCCCTCTCATCCTGCCCTGCCCAGCCACTGCCATCTAATTTGCATATTCTCTCCTGATTGGCTGGTGGGCTTAGCAGAGTGATGGTTAATTTGCATGTATCTCTTTTATTAGTGTAGATTCTTACAATAATGTAAACTAAAGCAAATGTTAAGGAAATCATAAAGAAAATATATTTACAGTTTACATCATCTGGTGGTTATTTACTATTCATTAAGTGGCAGTGAATCATTATCAAAATCTTCATCCTCATCTTCACATTGAGCAGGCTAAGGAGGAGGAGAAAGAGAAAGCACTGGTCTTGCTGTCACAGGGATGGCAGAGGCAGAATATGTGGAGGAAGTGGAAAGGGAGACTGAAGAGGCAGGCACCCTCGATGAAACTTTACAGAAACACATCATAATCTGACTTTTTTGCTTTCTCATTTCTCTAAAAATGTTTCTACATGGTACCAATTTTTCTTTTACCATTTGCTTTAGTTTTAGTGCCTGTATCATAGAAAGATCCATGTCATAAAAGAAGTCAAAACTGTCATGAATAATCAGAACCCTTCTGCCAGATTGTCTAATGTCAACTCATTTTCTGGCACTGCTTCTTCTATAGCTTCTTCATCATATGGCACTGGTTCTGAAGCATTCATCTACATAAGTCATCTTCTATTAATTGCTCTGATGTGGTGCCTTTTAGCTCTTGAATTTCTCCAAGATCCATATCTTAAAACCCATCACCCCGCTCCCTTTTGCCATATCCACAATTTCTTTCATGATTTTCTTCACTGGCTCTGTCATAAATCCTATGAAAAAGGGTTCTTGTTGTCCAGGTTTTCTTATATAACTGAAAGACTGGCAGCTAATGTTTTTTTCTTTTCTCTTCAATTTTCCAGGGTTAGCAGCTTTATAGATAAGGGCAGTCCTGATCATAAATCTGACTGCATTTGCACAGAAGAGTAGAGTTAGTCTATCCTTGCCTGAAGCCTGGTGCTCATTTCCCTTCCTCAACTAATAAATGTCCTTTGGCATTTTCCAGAATAGGGCACTTTTGTCTGTATTAAAAACCTGTTCAGGCAGATATCCTTCTCAATGATTTTCTTAATAACATCTAGAAATCCATTTGCTGCTTCTTGTTTCGCAGAAGCTATTTCTCCTGTTACCTTGACTTTTTTACACCAAATATCTTCCTAAAATTATCAAAACCTTCCTTTGCTGGCACTAAATTCTCCTTTATTTTGCTTTAAGTATTCATATGATGAGTTAACATTTTTTGGAATTATATTACAGTCCATAGTTATGTCTTTCTTACAGCAGACCTGCACCCACATAAAAGGTACATTTTCTATATGAGATAAAACGATAGTTATATTGGTGAATTTATATTGCACCAATATAAATTCCAGATAAATCAAGAAAACAGACAAGTAAAGAGCAATCATTCTCAAGAAACCATACCAATCTGTATCTGGACCTGATTTGGATGATGACATACTAGATTTTGAGCTGTTGTCAGGGATGTGAATTAGAGGTCTCTGAGGCAGAGATTAGTGTATTTTGCACGTTTGGGGTGTGGAAGGGATGTGAAGTATGTCAAGAGGGCAAACAATGGCAATAGTATTGTCCAGAGATGGCCACAGCAATAACTCCCATCCCCCATGTTTTCTTCTACAATGTTACCTTGCCACCCCCTATTAATAAGTGGACTCTCCTCCCTCACCACCATGTTCACCAAAACACTAGCTTTTAAATCCTGATTCACCAAGAAAGTCAACTATCTTGAGGCCTCCACACTGTAAGGAGGTCCAGGCCACATGTACATGCTCCAGTTAAGAGCCCCAGCTGAAATCTTAGTATCAACTATCAGTCATAAGAGTGAAGATACCTTCAAATGATTCCCACCTTCATATTACCCCCAGCCAACAAGTCTTCCCAACTAAGGTCCTAGACATTTTGGAGTAGAAACAAGCCATCATTGGTGTGCCCTAACTGAATTACTGACCCATAATATCTGCGAGTGTAACAAAATAGTTATTTTACATTAGCAAGTTTTGGGGTAGTTATGTCATGAAGCAATAGCAACCAGACTACATACTGATGGAAATGATCTAGTAGAGAGAAAAAATGAGGATACAAGAAAAAGAGGGAGAGGTAGAATGGCAAAGTCTTTGGATGCAAACAGAGATGGATTCCTCTACTCAAGTAGATGGCAAAGCCTTAGATGTGGCACTGAGCAGTTTATTCACTGTGAAGGGGAAAGGGGCAGAGTAGAAGTACAGACACAGAATAAGGAAGGGGGAATATTGATGGTAGATTATTATTTAAAATATAGAGGTAAACACCAGAAGATACTGTTATGAAATTTATATACATTTTACTACAAGATTCTACACTTTTAAAATGAAGTTTAAAAAAAAAAGATTTATCCCATTCTTCATTATATAAATAAGGAAAATAGAAGACTCAATGATTATAGGTATGGCTCAAAATCATACACCACACTGACAGCAGAGTCTGTCCCTGATCCCAATTCCCAAATCATCACATTACTTTTCATATTACAAAAACATTGCCTAGTGACATTATATTTCAGAGTCAGAATTTATTAAAAATAAAATAATTTAATAAGCAAAAGTGAATACCTTATCCCAAAGGGCTAATATATCAAAAAATAAGGCTGAAAGATGTCCTTGGGAAAATCAAAATTAGCATTCAAGCAAAACAAATAACCCATGGACTATCGCAACCTAGTCTACCTCTGTTAGCTATACCACATGGGCTTCAAAAACAGATAATGCTTTCAGTCTCCAAAACTGAATACTTCCAATCATGCTAACTTCAGTTTTAAGTTATCAAAAATTCCTCCTTTTATTTATTTAAATTTTTTCTTCAGCCAAGGTTATGCTTTTTATTGACTTTTTTTTTTTTTTTTTTTAAGAGAGGGAGAGAGAGGAAGAAATGACATGAGAAAGAAACATTGATCAGTTGTCTCCCATTCATGCCCTTATTGCGGATCAAGATACAACCTGGGCATGTGCCCTGACTGGAAATCAAACCCATCACCTTTCATACAGATGACAGTCCAACAGAGCCACACCAGCCACAGTAAATTCCTCTTCCTTTTAAAAATTCATCCATTAAAATTTTATTCAGATTTTACCAGTACAATAGCACCCAGAGATCACTTTCGAACCTATTGGGTCACTAAATGTCTAAAGATGATCACTGAATGTCTACTTACTCAAATAATATAAATGCAGGGCTAATGTCCATAAGGTATAGCAATACCTATGTAGTGTGAAATTGAAGTACACAGAAAAATGACAAACACTCTGTAGAAAATACCTCCCAATCTTTATTATGCCCAAAATTCTCATCAGTTCCAGTGATAAGAACTTTGGATAGAAGTCTCCACTGTTCAGCCAACTGTCAAATCCAAAGATCATCTATTGATATCATACTAGAAAGAACAAAATATTAATAGCAGTTATTTCTGCACTAGAGGCCTGGTGCATGAAATTTGTGCAAGGAGGGAAGGATGTCCCTCATCCCAACCTGCACCCTTTCCAATCTGGGACCCCCTGGTCCTATAGGGATCAGGCCTAAACGGGCAGTCAGACATCCCTCTCACAATCCAGCACTGCTGGCTCCCAACTGCTTGCCTGCTTGCCTTCCTGATTGCCCCTAACTGCTTCTGCCTCCCAGCCTGATCACCCCCTAACCACTCCCCTGCCAGCTTGATTGATGTCTGACTGCTCCCCTGCCAACCTGTTTTCCCCTAACTGCCCTCACCTGCAGGTCTGATCTCCCCCTCCCCCATCCGCTCTCCCCTGCAGGCCTGGGTCTCCACCCCAACTGCCCTTCCCTGAAGACCTAGTCACCCCAAGTTTCCTCCTCTGTCAGCCTGATCACCCCTATCTGCCCTCCCCTGCAGGCTTAATTGCCCCCAAGTGCCCCCCTTGCAGGGCTGGTCCCTTCCAACTGTCCTCCCATGCTGGCCATCTGTTTTGGGTTTTTTTTAATATATTTTATTGATTTTTTACAGAGAGGAAGGGAGGGAGATAGAGAGCTATTATAAAAACACCGATGAGAGAGAATCATCAACCAGCTGCCTCCTGCACACCCCCTACTGGGGATGTGCCCACAACCAATGTACATGCCCTTGACCAGAATCGAACCTGGGCCCTTTCAGTCCACAGACCGATGCTCTATCCACTGAGCAAAACCGGTTTTAGCCATGCTGGCCATCTTGTGTCCACATAGGGACAGCCATATTTGACTACATGGGGGCAACCATCTTGTGTGTTTTGAGTGATGGTCAATTTGCATATTATTCTTTTATTATTTGGATAGAGGCCTGGTACATTGGTGGGGGCCAGCTGGTTTGCCCTGAAGGGTGTCCTGGATCAGGGTGGGGGTGCTCTTGGAGTGTGGGGCCTGTGGTGTTTTGCAGCCTGGCAACCAAAGCAGAGGCCCTGGTATCTGGGATTTACTTATCATCTATAATTGAAACTTTGTAACCTAGAGCAGAGCCAAGCCTAGGCTTGTGGGTGTGGCAGAGGCACAGTCAATTTGCATATTGCTCTTTTATTAGATAGGATGAGGAAACTATAAGCAATTTTCTTCTTTATTCTGCTTTTCTAGATTTCATACCAGGTAAAATACTAGCACACATTTCTAAGACCTTTTTTCAGTTAAGATTCTTCTCATTTGTTGCCAATAATCAGCAACAATCAACATTTTTAGTCATTCTCACCTTCTTAACCTACCCATCCCCTTACTTCTCATATTAACTGCTCCTCCTTTGTCTCCTTTGCCAGTTCTCTAATTACAGGCAATTCCCAAGACTCAACTTTAGGTCTACTGCTCTTTACTCTGAGCACTACAATCCCAGCCTTAAATTTTTCTACCATGTTCTAGTTATACAATATGTCCCACTGTCTATCTATTTGCACTTGACTATCCTACTGCCACCTCAAACTCAAATATACAAAATATAAACCGAGCTTATATCTGTATCTTCTCAACCATTTACTAATACTTCCACAGTAATATTTCTGTCCATTTTGCCATTAATAAAATTATAGTTATTTCTTTGTCACTAACTGAGTAATTTTGGGACACACTTAAATCTCTCTGAGTCTCATATTCCTAATGCACAAAATGTATATATTGTGGCCCAGATGTCTTAGAGTTGCAACATTTCATTTCCTGTCACAGATCAAAATCTCAAAGTCATCTTTGATTACTCTTCCTCCTCTCTGCCTCCCCTAACCCCGCTCCACATCTTCCTTTCCTATACAATCCATAATGAAATCTTGTGTGATATCTCTCCAATCTGATCCCAACTAAGTGCAAATCCTCATTACTTTAGGCCTAGATTATTTTCCTACTTTATCACTTCTCACATATCACTTCAACACATACTATGCCTCGAATTGAAGCCTCTCTGATTTCCTAAAATACTTCTTTTAGCAAGCTCTTTCTCAATCCAAAATTTTAAAAACTTCTCTGTTACCTAAAGAGCCAAGTACATTCTTTTCATCCCAGCTCTTAAAGGCATGCACAATCTAATTCCAACTTACATTTTCAACCAGATTTCTTACCACTCTCCACACAAATCTTCATTTCAATCAAGTTATTTTATGTAATGTTCTCTGAACATGTCATGCATATTTTGCCTTTACCTCCTATACAAGGTCCTTCCTTTTATGCAAAAACAAATCTTGTCTAGATTTGATTCTACCTCCTCTGTGGGCCTTTTTGCTCACTTGTGGCCTCAAATATCTATAACTTTCATTACTTATCTCCCCAATTAAATTTTAAGTCCTTAGTGAAAGGAACCTATTTAATATTTTTCTAAAAGTCTTTTGGACATAGCAATGTACCTTTCACATTTTAAGTATTAATAAATGTTTGTTTGGTGACTGACTAAAGTTCTTTTTGAATACACAACATTTACTGAATGCTCCCATGTAGTTAGCACTCTGTGTGTACTTTTTTAAAAAAATATTTTTTTATTGGCCCTAGCCAGTTTTCTCAGTAGATAGAGCATTGGCCTGTGGACTGAAGGGTCCCAGGTTCAATTCCAGTCAAGGGCACATGCCTGTGTTGCGGGCTCGGTCCCTAGTGGGGGTAGTGCAGAAGGCAGCTGATCAATTATTCTCTCTCATCATTGATGTTTCTACCTTTCTCTCCCCCAATGGGGATCGAGCCTGCAACCTGAGCATGTGCCCTGACCAATAATTAAACCTGAGACTTCTTGGCTCATAGGTCAACGCTCAACCACTGAGCCACAATGATTGGGTTGTGAGTGTGCTGGTTTAATTCTAGGTACTGTTCATCAAAGCATACACTGTCAATTTTTTAAAAATATGATTAACTCTAGGGAAATAACTTACAAACAACCAAAGCATGGTACACAAGTAAACTATGCAAAAATAGAAACTATAGAAATACAGAGAAGGGTAAAAGCAATCTTTAATGAAACAGTTCCACAAATAGGATAGAATTTTAACTGGAAGTATAATGATAATAATAGAATACCGTGCTTCCCCAAAAATAAGACATCCTCTGAAAATAAGACCTAGCGCATGGAAAGATAAGATATCCCCTGAAAATAAGACCTAGAGCAATTTTGGGAGAAAAAATTAATATAAGACACTGTCTTATTTTCGGGCACATTAAGCTCACCTTTTTTAAAAAAATATATTTTTTAAAAAGTACACACAGATTGCTAATAATAGCAGTGGTAATAAATAATTATAATAATACCTAAAACTTAAGGTGTGCTTAATGTGCCAGGCACTGATCTTGAGGACTTTTCATATATTAACTCAATATTCACTACAAACCTAAGGAAAAAAATACTATAATTCTCCTCATTTTCCAGATGAGGAGACTGAAGCCTTGCTCAATTATTCCACATCTAGTAAGCAGTGCAATAGGAAACAGAACTGGGCTTGGTGGGAAAAGTATGGAAAACAAGAATGAAAGTTAAAAGGTAGAAAATAAGCACAGCTGCTATAAGAGTAAAAAGCAGGTTTGAAGTGAATAGCAGCGAATGCTTACAGAGGGTCTTTAGACAGAAGACTGAATAAATAGAGCAGGGAATAATGATAGAATATCTTGAAAGCCAGAAAAAGGAACTTAAATTTAATAAGTATAAAATGGGAAGCTAATGAAAATATGGGGCAAGAGAATACCAACAATAAGGCATAATAGAGTGATATTTTTATTTTTTGTTAATTCTCATCAGAGTATATTTTTTTTCTTTTTATTTTTTTCTTTTTATTTTTAGAGAGAGAATGGAAGGGAGGGGGAGAGACAGAGAGAGAGAAACATTGATGTGAAAGAGACACACATCGACTGGTTGCCATCTGCTCAAACCCGGACCAGGACTGGGAATCAAGCCTGCAACTGAAGTGCATGTCCTTGACTGGAATTGAACCTGGCACTCTTCAGTCCAAAGGTGGACGCTCTAACCACTGGGCAACTGGCTAGAGCTAAAGTGACATTTTTAAAAAATATATATTTTATTGATTTTTTTTTTTTTTACCGAGAGAGAGGGACAGGGAGTTAGAAACATGGATGAGAGAGAAATATCTATCAGTTGCCTCTTGTACACCTCTTTTTTTTTTTAAATATATTTTATTGATTTTATACAGAGAGGAAGGGAGAGAGAGAGAGAGTTTGAAACATCGATGAGAGAGTGTCATCGACCAGCTGCCTCTTGCACACCCCCTACTGGGGATATGCCCGCAGCCAAGGTACATGCCCTTGACCGGAATCGAACCCGGGACCCTTCAGTCCCCAAGCCGACGCTCTATCCGCTGAGCCAAACCGGTCCGGGCTCTTGTACACCTCTTAATAGGGATATGCCCGCAACCCTTGACAGGAATTGAACCTGGGACCCTTCAGTCCGCAGGCCGACACTCTATCTACTGAGCCAAATCGGTTTCGGCGACATTTTTATTAAAGATAACTTGAAGGAAGAGATGCTGGATTCTGAAAGGTTGCTATGACTTTCAGTATTTTAGGCTGAGGAAATGAGTCCTGGGATTTAAGTGGTAAAATGAGGGAAGCAAAGACAGAGGGACAAAAGAAATATGGACAGAAAATGGTGGATGGGTTAATATGAAAGAGGCAGTTTTAAAATGATCCCTAATTTAAATCCTATATATCCAGGAGAGAAGGACATTACAAAGGGATATAAAATAATGATTTTCATTTGAGGAATGTTGAGTATGAGGAGATGATCAAATATACTAGAAAACCAATACTATGACTAGAATGGCAAATGGGCAACAAGATTAGTTTTAAAATGAAAGAAATGAGCCAAAGCTATGAAGATACTGAATAGGAAAGGAACTATATTAAGCCATAACCAGCTGGTAACAGCCTTGTATCAACAATTATATCAATAGTTTTGGTGGAGAGGGGATCCATTAGTGACCAACATTTTAAAAATGCAGTTTTTCCATTAACTAAACATTTTTTAAATCAGAAAAGCCAACCAAAAGATAAGGCAGAGGTTCTCAAACTTTCTCCATTTAGTGAGTCCTCAGTCTTAGTAATTTTTTTTGTAGGAACCCTAGGCCAAAAGAAATGCTTAAGCAGGTAGGTACTAGGTTCAAACCATTTAAGTATTAATGTCCTTAAAACTTAGGGCTTGTTGGGCACTGTACAACTTCTCAAATCTTGGAATTAAATTGGATATCACATTCTCCTTGCCTGTATCATTAATTTTCATGCAGTATTTGTTTTTTATCACAGCGACCACTAAAAACACAGCTTTGTAAAGACATGACATTGTAGAAAGGAATGTATCAATTTAATGTTGAAACCATGAACTACTTCAGACAAGCCTAAGTTCACTGGTACTGTGAGACATCTCACTCAGCACACAATTTGGGAACTAGGAGTACAGGGAAGGGGCCTAAAAAGAGACCCAAAAAATGCAATGTGGGAGGAGCAAAAGAAAATTCTTAGCATAATTAACCACAAGAGGGCAGCACAATAGTTGGTAGGGACAGCACAATGTGGGAGGGGGGTGTCAGAGAGATAAGTACAATCTTTCCATAAAAAGACTATAAAGTCCCTTAACCATTTAAAGACCCAAAAAGTCCTTTTTGTCCTTATACTAAAGAGGAAGAAATACTGGTCACTGGCAGATCACCTTATGCAGAGTCATTCTGTCCTTGTCTGAGTCTCCTTGGCCTGCCCAGACATGATAGCAGCCAAGACTTTTATAGTTACCAAGCAATGTACTACTTTGCATGCATCATCTTATTCAGCCATAAGAAAATTGAGGCTCAATGAGATTTTAAATAATAAGCAGGATTCAACCCAGACCTGACTTCAAAGCCAAAGCGGTTTCCTATTCTGCCACAAAAGCATCCCATCTTTCAGCAATACAGCCGGGTGAAGGTAGAGAAAAGATAACAGTTCCCATCCCATACTTAAGACATCTGTCTCAAATTAAACAATGGTCCTTAAATATCCCCCCTTCTATTCCTTAAATGGCCTCTAAAAAACAACACAAAAACCCACTATAAACTCCAAACACAGGTCATTCAACTAGAGCAAAAAACAAGTATTATATGCTCATATAGTGGGTCTTTCCTATACAGGTGAATACACGTACTATGAAAACAAGTGTTGAACACATCCGGTTTGCAGATATGTTTGGTAACACATATGCACATATACAAGCAAATGATTCTTGCACTTCAAGTGGTAAAGAGGTGAAGAGGGTGGGGAGAGGGAGACCAAAGGTTGATTATCCATCTTCAAATCTGCTGGGTGTGTGATATGAGAACATCTGCAGTAGCCCAACAACTCAGTAATACAAATCTATTATGAAACCAAAAGCACCTCTCTTATTCCCACTTCTTGTTTCCTTCTCCACATTTCTCCTTCCCACTATGCATGACACACCTTGGCTGCTTCATTCAGAAAAACAAACAAAAACAAACAAAAAACAAAAACAAAAAACACACACACAGGAGTTTCTCCTGTCAGATTAATAACCACCGGAAAGCAAACTGGGTAAATTCAACCGACACAGCAAACTTAGGCAGATAAAACCATCCAGGAAGCACTCAATGTGGCAGCAGAAACCCCAGCAAGAACGGCTAACGTGTTCTCTCCATAGGTATCTCTTAGTGCTAGAAAATGAAGACTCTGGCTGCTTGAAGAGAAGAGAGTAACTGACAATGTTGCAATGGTGTTGTTTGTTGTTGTTTTTTTTTTGTTTTGTTTTTTTTGCAAAGCCACGTTATAAGTCAGCAGAGAAAGAAACAATGAATGTTTCTTAAAGGATCCCAGAACAACAACAAACACGCCCCCCCCTCCCCCAACATACCCTCCCGGGCCAAAAAGTTCAGCTCTACAATTTTCAGGGGAGTAAGAAGCCACGAGTCCTGCCACCCGCTCCCCACCTTCGGCTGGCGATACCCTCGCCTTCCCAGCAGCCAAGATCCCTTTACCCACCTTGGCGCGGAGGGGAGGAAGGGCCTCTTGTTCTGCAGAAGGAAAACAGTTCACATCTTGTTCCCTTACCCGCTTCTGAAACCTAAAGAAGAAGAAGAAGAAGTTACTAGCGCAGAAATCCAGAGGAAATACTCGTTCTTCTCTAGGCTGCTTGAGCGTCTAAGAAGATCTGAAAGAGGATAAAAAATAAAGGGTGGGCGGTGGGGGATCGGGCGCACATGGGTGCAAACAACAACAGCAAAAACTCCCGGTCGTTTCCCCGCCGAGAGGAAGCTTTTCCTTTGCTGTCAAGTTGGCTGCCACAAGCAGCGGAGAGAGCGGGGACCGGGCGGGTGGGGAGGGCGGCGGAGAGCCGAGGGCAGGAACACCCACCCGCGGCTCGGACCGGGCGGTGAGGACGCGCCCCCAGACCCCAGGCGGCTCCTACCGGGCGCCTCCGGCCGGCCACGGTCTGCGAAGCCCCCGGAGCGGGCACGGGTTCGGGTCCGAGCATCCGCCAGGCTGGGACCTCCGATCCCTCCCGCGCGGCTGCGGCTCCCACTCACATCCCTCGGCGGCGGCGGCGGCGAGGACCCGGCCTCTCTCTCTCCCTGGGCTGCGGGCACCAGTTCTCCTCCCAGACGCGCCTCCAAGTCCGGGCCCCACGACAGAGCAGCTGAGGAGGAGGCGGAGGAGGCGGAGGCGGCGGCGGCGGCGGCGGCGCGAACTCCGGAGCCAGCGGTTCGCCTGCCCAGCGGTCAGCGCCCCGGGAGGCCGTTAGCTGCAGGCGCGGCTGCCCCCTCGGGCTCCTCGGCTTCTACTTCCTCCACCCAAGCCACTCCGCTTCGGCCGCCGGCAGCCGGGAAGCTCGTCACCGCCGCCGCCGTCTCCACCCTCTCCCGGGGCCGCGCAGAGTCTTCAGAACCGCGGGCGACACTGGGATTCAGGGCCTTCTTCGGTCAGGGCGGCCGCCGACTCGCCGCGGTCTGAGGCCGGGCCGGAGCCGGGCGGGGGGCGGGGGCGCGCGCCCGCACTGCGCGTGCGCCGCTCCCGGGGGGCCGAGCGGCTCCGGATGCGCGCGCCGCGGGGCCGACAGGGGCGAGCCTCGCGGGGCCGTGGCTTCCCGTGGCGCGCGTGCGCGCGTGCGTGCGCGCGCGCGGAGATTCCGGGGGAGGCCCCTGGGCCCGAGCGGGCGGAGAGGCTGAGCTGGCGGTGGCGGCTCGCGGGGACGGCCCTCCACGAGATAGGCGTGTGTGTGTGTGTGTGTGTGTGTGTGTGTGTGTGTGTGTGTGTGTGTGTGTGTGTGTGTGTGTGTGTGTGTGTGTGTGTCTGTGTGTGTCTGTGTCTGTGTGTCTGTATGTGTGTGTGTCCGCCACCCGCCGTGGAGGCGGCTGGGAATGAGTCAGCCGGATGGGAAGGCGCCCTCTGCGCGCAGCCCCGCACCGCACAGACTTTCCCCGCCCGCGCGCGGTTGCTTTTTTCCTTCTGCCTCAGCTTCCACGTTCCGGGGGCTGCAAACCTGTGCTTCCCAGGCTTGGCCTCTGGACCGAGGGGAAGTAGTGCCGGGGAGAGGGGCTGGCGCTGCGTGCTCAGCCTGGCCGTGTCTTCTCCCCAGTGCAATCCCGAGGGCCTGACTCACCTCTGCTGGGAAGCAGGGCGGGTGGCAGGGTGCTCCCAGCTGCCTGCAGATTGACCGCGAGGCCTGGGCGATTGAGAAAGAACAACTTCCACCATCCCAAAGAGCTTCATTCATCCATTCAACACATATTTACAGAACACCTACTAGCCCCCTCCCCCCAGGATGCTATGTGAATACTAATTAACTGCATGTTCCTTGTGTGCTGGAGCTAGTATTCTGATACAGTGACTGCTGAGTGAAATAAGCCAGTCAATGAAAGAGAAACACCACATGACCTCACTCATTTATGGATAATAAAGAACATTATATCAACCAAAAGATAGATATAGAGACAGTAAAGCAACAAGCAGACTGTCAAATTACAGCAGGGAGGGGAGGAAAATCTGGGAAGATAAGAGATCAACCTAAGGACTTGTATACATGCATATAAGTACAACCAATGGACACAAAACTCTGGGGAGGGAGGGAGGGCATGTAGGGGGGTGGGGCGTAAGGGTATATGTACACAGATAATAATTTAATAAAAAAATTTAATTGCCTTAAATGTATAATGTGCAAGGGTATAATTGCCACTAAAAAAATAATAATACTGCAAAGTGAAGGAGTAGAAAGTGAACAGTCTATGTGCTATTGCAGTTAGGCGCCCTCCCAGAGTAACTGACATTTCAGCAGAGATCTGAGGCATGAGAATGGACCAGTCCTGTGATTATCTTGGGAAAGCGTTTCAGGCAAAAGGGCTGGCAAAGAGGCAAAGACCCCCAGAAGGGAATGTACTTGGCAAGCAAGGAGCAGGAAAGAGGACACTGTGGCTGGAGGACAGTGAAGGAGGGGGCAGTGGTAAGAGGTGAGGCAAAGAAGTAGCCTTTAAGCAACTGAGTAGGACCTTTTTCACTTATTATTAGCCCTTTTTCTGTCAAGTTGAAGGAATTGATGCATTTATAGCCCCTGTTTCTCCATACACAAATGATGTTGCCATTCAGGTTTGGCTTGTATTAAATAGTTTCTTTAAACAAACCTCACCACAGCAACTCCTGCATTACTTTTAACATAAGACCCATTGTAAAAGGTCTTTGAGCAAATGATAGCAGGATAGAAAATAACTTGAATTCACACTGACTTCTTTAAGTTAATAATGAACGAAGGTCCTGCTTTCTCATAAGAGAAAGAGATTATAGGGGAATTGCATTCCTATGGTGCAATATTGTAATGTAGACAATATTTGGTGTTTATCATACACAGCCCCGCAAACCCTTGGAATTTCCTAAGTGTTGAGAGTGATCAAGGTGTCTTTTGTTATATTATTATTATTATTATTTTTATATATTTTATTGATTTTGTACAGAGAGGAAGGGAGAGATAGAGAGTTAGAAACATCGATGAGAGAGAGTCATCGATCAGCTGCCTCTTGCACACCCCCTACCGGGGATATGCCCGCAACCAAGGTACATGCCCTTGACCGGAATCGAACCCGGGACCTTTCAGTCCCCAAGCCGACGCTCTATCCATTGAGCCAAACCGGTCCCGGCAAAAAATTTTGTTTTGTTTTTTTTAATATATTTTATTATTTTGTACAGAGAGGAAGGGAGAGAGATAGAGAGCTAGAAACATCGATGAGAGAGAGAATCATCAACCAGCTGCCTCTTGCACACCCCCTACTGGGGATATACCCGCAACCAAGGTACATGCCCTTGACCGGAATCGAACCCAGGACCTTTCAGTCCCCAAGCCGATGCTCTATCCATTGAGCCAAACCGGTCTCGGCTTGTCTTTTGTTATATTAATAAGGTGACTTTTGGACCTCACCCAAGAGAACCAAACAAATGATTAAAGGTAACTGAGTCCCATCTATCCCATTTTGGGATAAGGGAAAGGAGCTGGAAATTAAATTCAAGGGCCAGTGGTCAATGTCTCAGGCAATCAAGGCTGTGTAAGGAAGCCTCCATAAAAACCCAGGAAGGCAGCTTTTCCTTCTTCAGAGACCTCTCGTGCTGGAGAACCATACTACCTCCATGTGAGTGCCGCCTTGTAGGTGCGCACGAGCTCCTTTGTTTAGGACTTTGCCTTAGGTGTCTCTTCATCTGGTCGTAGTCTTTAATATCCTTTTCTAATAAGCTGATAGTCTAGTCCACATGTGTCAAAAACAAGGCCTGCGGGCCAAATCCGTCCCGCCAGGCCTTGCAATGTGGCCCGCACCGCGCTGTCATCACTGCACTCCGCTGCGTTTCCATCACAATGACAGTTTATGACTGTTCAGTAAACCATTCGGCCCGCGATTTAGGCTGGATTTTAGATTTTGGCCCCTTCTCTGATTGAGTTCGACACCCCTAGTCTAGTCAGTTAAATGTTTCTCTGAGTTCTGTGAGCCATTCTCGCAAATTAATCAGCCCAAGGAGGGGGTTGTGGGAATCTCTGATATATAGCCAATCAATCAGCAGTCTAGGTAACAACTTGAACATGAGATTAGCATTCTAAATTGGATGGCTCTTCGTCGGTCTGCAGACTGAAGGGTCCCAGGTTCGATTCCGGTCAAGGGTATGTACATCAGTTGCGGGCACATCCCTGGTAGGGGGTGTGCAAGAGGCAGCTGGTCAATGTTTCTCTCTCATCGACATTTCTAGCTCTCTATCTCTCTCCCTCTCTGTAAGAAATCAATAAAATGTATATATTTCTTAAAATAATAAATAAATAAATAAATAAATAAATAAATAAATAAATAAATAAATTGGATGGGTCTTTGGACCCTCCAATCTATAATCAGTTGATCAGGAATACAAATAAGAGCCTGGGCTTGCTGTTGGCATATAAAATATGTGTGTGACCCTATTCGGTTTGGCGCAGTGTATAGAGCATCTCTTGGCCTGTGGACTCAAGGGTCCCAGGTTCGATTCCAGTCAGGGGCATGCAGCTGATTGATGTTTCTCTCTCATCGATGTTTCTAACTCTCCCCCTCCCTTCCTCTCTGTAAAAAAAAATCAATAAAATATATTTTAAAAAATAAAGCAATGAAGTGTGGATGTCAAACCAAGATGGCAGCATAGGTAAGCACCTGAATTTGCTGCCTTGCCCAACCACTTCAAAATTACAACTAAAAGACAAAACAGATATCATCCAGAACCACGTGAAGGACGGCTGAGTGGAATTTATACAACTAGAAGGAAAGAGAAAAGAGCAGAGACTGGGAGGAGGTGCAGAGGTGCAGAAATGAAGTATGGAGGTACAGAGGTGTGCGCAGAAAAAGGTCTGGCAACAGGATACACTGTTGCGTATCGTTTTTAGTCGGGAGATACAAGCCCCCCGGAGAGACTCTGGGGACCCGGAATCATAGGAAGAGAAACTGAACTGTCTGGTATCAGGCCGGAACATGGGGGCATTTTTCTCTCAGAGGTGTTTGCAGTGATCATTGTTCCTGTATGGTGCCACAGGACACAGAGACCCAGGGGCTTCTTTGGGGCAGGGCTGATGGTCAGCCATTGCTGTTTGCTCTGTCCAAATGATTCTCTAAGACCCCAGCCCACCCAGTTTACAACCCCACCCAAGCTGTGCACAGAGGCTTTTGCATATGAATTACTTGGCTTTTTGCAATCTAAAACCTAACAAACTGCATCTAGGTCAGAGAACCCCAAAGCTTCCAAAAGAAGGCCCAAGGCTGGACAGCAGCTTGCATTGCTTCACAGCTAGGCCTCATCTGGGCACCTCCAAACCTCAAACAAAGAAAAGGAATCTGAAGATTTCTTTGTAGCTCCTGCTGGGTTGCCTCAGGCAGTGGCTGACTTTGCACCTCCTTGGAGATCCAAGAGCAGTGGTTAGAGTGAGACCATCCAGATTACAACTCTTCACATCCATCAGAGACACACTCAGGGCAGATTCAGTGAGCGCCAATGCTACACTGAAGCAAGTCTTGTCCCATAAGGGTGTCTCCAGCACAGCAGTTCTCCCATTGTAGATACAACTGATCCTCACAGGCCTGGAAGTCAATTCCTCCCAATGATACCAACAATCAAGGCCTAACTACAACAAGACTGAGCACACAGCCCACAAAGGGGTGCACCAAGAGTGTTCACCTCAGATAGTTAGGGAGGCTGAGCCACTGGGTACTATAGGACACCTAGCACACAAAGCCACTCTATCAACACAGGGAAGCAGCCAAAATGCAGAGACAAAGAAACAGGTCACAAATGAAATAAATGGAGGAAAGCAAACTACTGGATATAGAGTTCAAAACCACGGTTATAAGGTTACTCAAGAATCTTCTAGAAATCTTTGAGAAATCTAGTGAGACCCTCAAGGATATGAAAAAGGACCAATCAGAAATTAAGCATACACTGACTGAAATAAAGAATAATATACAGCCGAAACCGGTTTGGCTCAGTGGTAGAGCGTCGGTCTGCGGACTGAAAGGTCTCGGGTTCGATTCCGGTCAGGGGCATGTATTGATATGTTGGTTGTGGGCACATCCCCAGTAGGGGGTGTGCAAGAGGCAGCTGGTCAATATTTCTCTCTCATCGACGTCTTTAGCTCTTTAGCTCTCTCCCTTCCTCTCTGTAAAAAAATCAATAAAATATAT